AGTGCAGTCAGATATTTCAACCAACAACTATGAAGTTCATCTTTACCTGGTGCTGATCAGTTCTTGATCTCCCTTGCCCTTTTCTCCACCATTTCTGCTGTTATTACAAGTTCTTTCATTTCAGCTTCTTTTTTATTCTTATCTACTTCCTTTATCCAAGCTGCATTCTTGTTGTATTGCTTTGGGTTGTCCCATAGCTGCACCCAGAACTGCACTGTTTCTTCTTTGTCAGGTATTGATTGGCTCATTGCAGTCTCTCTATTGATGGATTGGTAGAAACATTTCTGATTCAACTGAAATTGGAGATTCTGCCTATAGTGTGCAATTCAGGCTTCGTATCTGCTGATCTTTTTGGCTATGGCTGTTATTTGCGGCTTTGTTATTTCCAGTGCTTCATTGATCTTCCTTGTTTCTAGGTGATATTTCATGATCAGGTATTCTTTGGTCGTCGTCTTCTTCAGCTTCTTTTCCTTCATCTGTTCTAGCTTGCTTGCATCTGATCTTAGCATGCTGATCTTATTTTCCAACCCAATTTTCCATTTTGGTGGTGCGCTGTTTGGCTTTTTTTCTTATTTTTTGATTTTGCATCCAAAGCTTTCAGTTAAAACTGCAGCCATGCTGTACATCAGTTGGTTTGTTTCTTGCAGTGAGCTGGTGCTTGTATTTGATATTACAGGCAACCTTATTCTGTTCATTTTGTGCTGTTCTAGATTTTTTGTTGTTGTTGTTGTTATTACTATTTTGTGAGTGCTGCATTAGTTGCCATGGGTTTCTAAGTGCAGTTCCAATCCTGGTTTAACTTATCAAGCCTTACATGGCCTGACTCCTGAGTACCTTAGGGACTTTCTCCTGTAAGAACAAACTACCAGTCATTTTTGCTCAGTCTAGCGAGGGGACAGTATATAAATTTGTGGAATAAATGAATATATTAAATAACAAAATGTTTGCCTGCCTTCCTGTCTGTCTTTTCTGAAAAAGTAGGCTTTTTGTTTTTGTCTTGGTGGCCTCAGGTTCTTCAATAGATGAGACTTAAGATGTTGAGGACCACTGGTTTCAGTGAGTACAAATTTTATGGTGTGATGTTTTAAAATCTTTATGTGTTTTATTTTAGTGAAAATCTATCCTGAGGATATAATGCCACTTATACCACATGCTACTGGTGAAAAGATTGAAGGCCCAACTTGCTACTTTCTTCAGATACTCTTAAAATATATGGTAATTCAGGTGAGCATACACATAGTAAATTTATTTCACTGAAATCACTTAATTTATTCATGCATTCATTTGCCCACATAATATCTAAAGTAAGTTAAGGCTTAGGAAGCAAAAACACTGGCATTATTTTCAAATTAAAGCACAGATAGTCTTCACTTCCTGATAGTAACTGGGACTGGGAACTGCATCGCCAAGTGATGCAGTCGTAAGGTGCAACATCACACGACCACACCAACTTATGTCGGCAGTTCTTGCAGCTCCAGTTGCCATCATTAGGTGAATCCCATGCAGTCGCAGCATCCCACAGTCACGTGATCACCATTTGCAACCTCCTGCCAGCTTCCCCATTGACTTTGCTTGTCGGAAATTGGCAGTGAAGGTTGCAAATGGCGATCGTGTGACAGCGCGACACTGCAAAGTTATAATTGTGAGCTGGTTGCCAAGTGCCCAAATCACAATCATATGACTGTGGGGACACTGCGATGGATGCTACTGCGAGGACCTGTCGTAAGTCCCCCTTGTTCAGCACCATTGTAACTTTGAATGATTGCTGAATGAGTGGACATTAAGTGAGGACTACCTTTATTTACAGTTTTCACTAATTTTTTATTGTTGTATGTCTTTATAGGACAACATGCTAAATGGCTTAGATCCTGTGTTCTGGGGGGGTTGCATTAAAAAAGTATATGTAGAATTTTTCATTACACTAATATTTCAGTGTTCTTTGCATTAACGTGAATCATTTTTTAATTCTGGCAAAGGCTGCAAGGTTGGAATGGAAGAATAAGGAGAACCTTGACACAGGATTTAAGTTTCTCTTTGCCTTGTTCAGAAAGTATTATCTTCCTCATTTATTCCCCTCTTTTATAAAACTAACCAACCTCTACAATCCTGTGCTTGGTAAGTAACAATTTTACTTCAGTTATTTTAATAACATTAGAAGAAAAGGGTTTTTTCCCCACTATTAAGATTCAAATAGATAACTTTTTTTAGATAATATATTGTCTTCTTGACAGGCCATATATTATTCCCCTCTATTTTAAACTTTAGATTTATCCTGCTCCTGAGAACAATGATAATGGCAGAAATTTGTTTACCAGATGGGCTTGGCCAGATCATTATTTTTTAATCATGGCTTCTTATCTGCAATATATGGATAATAAAATATTGATCTATCTTACATAATTTCTTGTAAGATTACATTATTTTGAAAAAAAAAGTTCAAGGATCAAGATTTATGTTACAAAGCTATCCTATGTAACTACTTTTTTGCCTCTTAATTCAGATTACTCTTATTATGTACAGTTCTTATTGTATGCTTCATCCATCCTTTCTGGGGTTTTTTGCCTATGAAAACACGTTATTATCTTTACTTGTATTTCTTTTTTTTATACTATCAGCCCAGTTTGTGCTATCTGGAACATGAATTTCCATTTATAATTCAGGCTTTTAAAAATTCAGTTTCACGTTTTGTGTTTTACAGAGATCCCTGGCCTGCGAACCAAATCAGTATGTGTTAATACAACTTGTGACAATGGAAATTTTTATAGTACAAAAATTCCATACTTGGATGCTCGTGTAACTTTTATTAAATGGCTTTTAAACTTTTTTCTGGAAAAGAAATACCTTACAGCAACACAAACTTTCAAAAATGGTGTGGAAGTTCTGCCCAGAATCATTCAAGTATGTCTGAAGTTTTACTTAGATTAGAACTTCTGAAGTTGTTGTCAAATCAACATCAAGTTACACTAGCGAAATTGTAACTTTTACATGAGCTTTAGAACTTAAATTTCATTCAGTAAAACATTCTGTATTTTGAGACCTGCTGATACCTTAAATAAGTATCATGTATTTAGTAATCAACTTTAGTAATGGAATAACATCCTTCTAATAATTAGCAATTATTAAGCATAGTGGATTTATTTCAGAGTACCTTAAACTAGTGGGGACAGAAAATTATCACTTGAACATATAAATTGTGTGCACATGCATTGTGAGTTTGTGATTTTTGAAGACATCATAACTTTTAATAGCAGCAAAGAATGGTTTCGAATGCAGGATTTTCCTTTGTTCCTTGCCATATTCAAATACACTTTTTGAAGGGTCTAGAATAGTTTTTTAATTATTATTTTTCAACTTGTTTGTGAGATGATGACCCATATTTTGTTTTTGTTTGTTTATTTAACTACTGAGTCTCCCTGTAACGTAGGTCTCAGACTAACAATGTAGTACTCACAAGCACCAATTTATCCACAGAGGCACACCAGCACACTCCCACAATACTCAGCCCCCTTCTGTTATTTCCCACCCGTTCCATTGGCTGCAGTAAAAATGGCAAGTAAAGAGAAGCCACCTATTCTGGATATGCCTAAGGAATAAGTATCTGTTGTTCCAGATGAGCATAATGGGAGGAGAAGGGGATGCTTGCTACACAAGCTAAGGAAATCAATGAAGACAGCAAGGGGGGGCGTGGCCAGGCTATGGTGATCACCACTTAACTGCAGCAATGCTGGGCTACTGTTTAGGATTGTCCAGAGGCTTCAGCTGGTAAAATAGGTGACCACTAGGCTGTAATCAGTGCATGATGCCAGGATCATATCATATATATATATCAGTGTAAAAGGTTGCCAGGCAAAATTGAAGGTGTTTCTTCAATGATTACAACACTAAATGCCTTGGGATCTAATGGCCTGAGGGACTATCAAAGAATCAACAGGACTTTGGAAAGTGAAGGTATCTTTAAGATAGCTTTTCTTGCTGTCTAAACCTGTCTGGAAGGTTAAAGACAGCAAGGAAAGCTATCTTAAAGATACCTTCACTTTCCAAAGTCCTGTTGATTCTTTTTTACTCAAAGCAGCATTCCTGCTAACCTTGAAGACCGGTGAAGCAATCGTTAAGAGGTTGTAACAGAAAGTTCCACCTTTCTGACTTCCTCATCATAGCTTGCTTGCTTGCTCGCTTGCTTGCTCCCTCCCTCCTTCCCTCCCTCCCTCCTGAAGGAAAACATAACATAGTATTTATAATTTCTTCGTCTCTCAAGTTTTGTTAGTGGGTATTAATATATTTTGTAGACAAAAAATCTAATGCTGAGAACTTTGCTTTAAGTGTGGTTGTCATTTTGAGACTACCATAAGTTGATAGAAACTGTTTTTTGGTGGGATCTGATATTTTATCACAAATTCAGGATTATTGATCTTCTATAATTTAGATAGCTTAGTGTATTGAAAATAGAGAAGAGAAGAAAAAAAATACTCTGTCAGTACTAACTACAATTTAAGATATCAGTATTACAGGCATAAAATTATTTAGCTTTTTCATCCAAAGTTGAATTGAGAAAAGAACTGCTGCAACTCACATCAACGTTTCTTCATTTTTATATGCCTGAGTAATATAAATGTATCATGCTCTTGTCTATTTATTTATTTCAAATATATTATTATATCAATACTAGAAAGATAAAATGTATTACTATATTTTTCCTACATATCATATATAGACATATGTACTCAATATTTTCATTGAACTTTTAATTCAGGGGTTTTTATTGTTTGGGTGGTAGGGTTAGTTGCTAGTAATTAGAAGTTAGATTAAATTCTCTTATGTAATGTCCATAAATTATCATAGTTGTTTCTTTCTGCATATCTCTGTAAGGCAGTGGGTAGTACAGTGCAAGATAAAAATCCTGAAGTGGAAAACAGTGTCCCATCAGAGCAGGAAAAAAATCATATCAACCACAGCGTGATACTCAGTAATTCCAGTTTTTGCAGCATTGAAGAGCAGCACTGGCCTGCATATGAGATGGTGCAGCAAATACTTTTGTCTACAAGAGATTATGTGAATTTTGTTAATGAAGTATTTCATCAGGTTGGTATAAATTAATATTTCTATTTCCTGATTAGCACAGAGCCTATCCTGGTAATCACAATTTCTGTACCATTTTATATTTGCTTTTGTGGGAAAAAAATGGGATGTAAACATAAAATGAACAGTGTGTTGTCACATTATTTGAATTCCTTTGTCTTAGTTTTTTATCCTACAGTATTCTCCCCTACCATGTGCCTTTCAACCATGTTAAAGTTCCATTGATGATAGGGTAATGAAATTCTGATGGAAATCACATAGAGAGACCACCAAGTTGAAAAAAGCTATTCTGTAATAATTTTAAATATGTATTAATAAAATTTCCTTTCCAACCTTCTCTAAACTGTTTCTCTTGGTCTTGATGTGATTTACTTACATACATCTGTATGATGTTATAATGATTTTCCTTTCTTTGTGTAGCAACTTGATGGACTGAAGTAGGTAAATGGAGAACTTCAGCAAGTTCAAGCTCCTCTTTTTTTTATAGAATCTAGATTTTTAAACATGTTATAAGAGACTGTTATAAAAAATCCCTGTTTTATTGGTGAAATAACATCAAGGTAATCCCTGTTTACTTCAAATGTGTGCAAGGATATTTATTCCTCAGGATGTATTACTCATATGTATTACTCCCATTTTAGGCTTTTTTGCTGCCACCATCAGAGATATCCTTAACTGAAAAGGTTGTGAAAGTTTATAGGAAATGGATACTACAAGAGAAACCTGCATTCATGGAAGAACCAGATACAAAGGAGACTATTCAAGATGATGATGGCATCATAGAACACTCAACAGCAGAGACAGATGGCAAACATGTATGCTGCTGGTCATTATTAATAGGTGGAGAGTTTGTGGGATGTAATTAATTGGGGTTTATAAATAGTTGTATGATCTGAGCAGAGATGTTGCTCAGACTAACGGAAATAGAGAGAGACTTTATTGATTAGTCAGTTGATCATATCAGAGCATGAGCATCAGCCACAGTTAGATACAGTAAAATGAGGTAAGGTGAAATAGAATATAGAAAACTGGATTCCACTTTTTTCTAACAATCTCTTGCTACTCTGGCACTTATTTTTCTCTAAGTCACTTTCAAACTTCAGAGGAATTCCCTCAATTATCAGTTGCATTATTTCTCTTAGATATAGTGTTGTTATTTGAATAACAAAATATTATAATCATATGCTTAGAACATGGAACATTGGGTATGAATAGAAAAGTATAATGAAATTGAATTAAGGTCTTGCTTTCCTTAAAAACTTTTCAGTTCTTAGAATCACATTCATGTGCAAGTTGAATACATCTGAAAGCAAATAGAATACATATAAAAGTGTTCTTCCAAAATTTTTGTTTAATCATTTTATAATAGTGTATAAGTTCTTTGTATCCTGATCAGTACTATAAACTTCAGAGCATTTCATTTGTCAAAAAATCAAAATATATGGGAGCAAAAATTTGGATCTTTAAATCATTTGTGTTTCAACTGAAGTCTCTTTTGATCATGTTGAATCAAAATGATTTGTCATATTTTTACTACTTCTGCATTTGTCAGAAACAGATTTATTGGTATTTCCCTGAAGGGATCATCCAAATGAAAGACTGAAATTTTAAAATATATAGTATAAATATTTTTGCTTTAAAAAAGTAACTTTTTGGATATCCTGTCATATTTTTCTAAAAGCATCTGTCAAGTGATTCAATCTCAAAATCCAATCTCTCCTTCAGTATTCTTATACTTAGTCCAAATAATGACACAAGCCATAGTGTTAAATTGATATGGAAATGTCAGGAAATTGCAACTGTATTTCCAATAGATTCACATAGTTTAGATCAAATTAATTCATCCCTAATGGAAGGGTAAGTACCTGTAAAACTGTTAATATCATTCCAATACAAAATTAGAATAATTTTTTTCAAGTTGTACAAATGTTTTGTCAGAGATCAATTTTTGCATTGAAAATATTTATTCACTGTATGTCATATCACTAAAGAAAATGAAAGCAGTTTTAATGCTATGTTCAATAACTTGGTCCTTTCAAAATCTACAGCATCACAGTCTTTACTGTATTCTGTATTATTACATCTGATTTCAAATAGTATCAAATCATCACCTGTTTGTTGGTAAAAGTCTTGTTAATTTAGTATAGACTTATGTAAATGGAACCATTTCCTCTCCTCCTAAGTTTGTGTTGATGGTTATAGACCCTGTGGGCCAGTATACTTGGAAGGATCACCACCACACACTTTTTCCTCAGTAGTGGTATTCAAGTAGAAATGGTACTTTCTACTTGAATACCACTATGTAAAGCATGTGTAAATTAGTAGTGACATATTCCTAGTGGCAACACTATTACATATAGTGTTACATACATATTACATACACTCAACAGTGTAAAATAATTTATGGTATAAAGAGTATTTAAATATTTTATCCCTTAAGTGTTTGTTTATTTTTGGAAAGGTATTGAAGCTGCTAATTCTTCTGTTAAAAATTACACTGACCAAACTGGGGATTACATTCTGGGTGCACATACTGCCTAATATGTTTTTCTACAGCTTGTGTCTGGACATAAAAGATCCTCAAGTTGGGGAAGAAGTTACTCCTTCTCTAGTGCTGTTACCAGAGGATGCTTATTAGAAGATGAAAACGAGAATGTTAAGGCAGGCCTTCAACCTACACTGCAGGTATTGTATATGATTCAAAAGGAATAGCTTATTTGTTTTATTTTGTATAATATATTCTGTACTTGTTTATTGTATTTATAGATTACCATAGTTAAATTGAAACTGAAATTTCACTTTGGAAAAAATGAAGTATCTTGCCCTTTAGAACTGATAAATGCAAAAAGCAAGACATATTTCACGTCACCTTAATTGTAACTGGAATTATTCTGAATTTGAGATGGACTCCTGAAGTGAGTCAAGAATATAAAAAGCCCCCCCCCCCCCAAAAAAATCAGAGACCATGTCTGGCCTGCAAAAAAAATTAAAGGGGAACAGAAAAGGAACACAAATAGCCCCAGAAGTACTAAAAGGAATAAAAGCAAAAAAGGGTTCAGAAATCTAAAAATCCCTGATCAGCACCCATACTTTCCTAATTGTCCTTTTTCTCCTTCATGTTTTTCAAAGTGCTCTAAGAGTTCTCCCACCCCCCACCCAAAAAGTAAAGGAACCAAGACTAAAAAGCTTTTAAGAGGAAGTTTTTAAAGCTAAACAGAAATCTTCTGTACATTCCAGGATACTCAAAGCAGCCCATTTTGCAGCTGAAAATAGCAATTTCATGATTGAGGCAAGAAATTTTACACTAAAAACATTTTGAAAACGAACTGTTTAAAACCCCCTAATAATGAATCATGTTTTTCTATGTAACCTAAGATTGAGAATATCCATGAGTCACTGCAACAACTGTCTCACTGGTTTGTTACTATGATTAAACTGTTATGAATGGCTCTTCATTGTTTACCCAAGTTGATCAGGGTCAATTCCGATGATTGCTACTTCCTTTTTTCAGGCATTTGCCTAACATTTGCAAGACAGTCACATGGTCACAGTCCCCCTATGTAAAATGCTATGCTATGAGAGTCTGTTCATAAGCTGACCTTTTTTAAATGCTTAATTGCATGATGCTCTGGATCCAACTTTTTTTTTAATTAGCACTACTGTTGGATAGGTTAGCTTGCTGATTGTCTTTATGTTGGTCTGCACAGAGATAATTATGCTGTGATTGTCTGTTATACATCTTTCTTTACTGTCAACAGTTCTCCTGTTCTTAGATCATTATGGTGGTCTGAATTAAGCAGAAAAGTACTTAGTGTCAATCAATCAATATTTTATTATGGTCACAGACCAGAATTACAAATAAAATACAGATTTGTACAAATACAAATAAAAATGCATTAAAATGAAATAAAGTTCTAGATGTTTTATAGAAAACATTCTAGAAAAAGAAATGGAAAAAATAATTTTATTATAGTAATATTCTGTGACAAACTTTAATACTGTTTGAGAAGAAAAGCTGCTTGGGTAATCATAGTTCATAAACCCCATTGGCTCATAGGGCAGATTCCCATTTTTACTAGAAAGAGAAACATCGGTATAAAATGGATTCATAGGTCTCTTATCCCAAAATTATACAAAATGGCAGCGATATCTAAATATGTTCTCATGTAGTTTAATATGTACAAAGGACTGTGCTCTTTATAGTTTTCAACATGAACATATTTTAAGGGTGATGCTCTGTGAATAGATTAAGTAACTTAATCCTAAATGTCTTGAAGAATATATTGTTCAACATATTAGAAATAACCTGAATAAATTTCATTTTGTTTTTTCTTCTCTCTTTTTCCTTCAAAATATTAAGGTATTCTTGACCAACTCTGCAAACGTATTTTTATTGGAACCATGCAGTGAAGCACCTGAACTACTTAAAGAGCAAATAAATGCTTGCAGAGCAGTTTTGAGTATATATAGGCGCATGATAATGGAACTTCCAATGAATAAAAAGACCTGGTATGTTTGTCTCTCCTCTCTCTCTTTGTATATCTGAGTTATGAAAATATGGTATGTTAAAACCAATAGTATATTACATTCTTTTTATGTCACTGTCTGAAAGTTCAGCTGAAATTCTAAGTGTTTATTTGCAAGTATGCACAAGTATTTCTCCATTGTTTGCTGTAGGTATTTCCAATTGTTTGGCCTGTGCATTTCTATCTTAGCATAATAAGAAATCTTTATCTATTTAATCCGCTATGTATATCTGTGTATATCAATTTATATACAAAGTGGAATTCTAGAGGTCAGCTAATGGATGAGAATGAATATCTAGACTTTCCAAAAATCTCGAAAGATAGACAATACATAAGTTAGATGTCTTTTAATTCTGAGGACACACAATGAAATACATTCCACTGATAATTTGTTCTGCTTTATAGAAGAAAAGCATATTGTTGTAAGGCAAGATTATTTGAAATACATGTTTTTCATGGTTGAACAAATATAATACATATAGAATGGTATAAATTACCACTTCTATTTTAATTTATATCCTGCCTTTCTGCCCATAAGGAACAATATAATATTATTTTAATTATAACTTACACTATTTTGTGTTATAAAATATTGTGATATAAATATTGTGATCTTTCCAAACCATAGCAAAATGAATGAGAAAACTTCCATGATTGGTTATATTTGTTTTAAGGATGCAACCTAATTTTTAGGACATTATTGTTAGAAAATCAAAGTATAGTAAAAATTTTAATAAAAATAATTAACTCAGCAGTTCCTCAGCAATTGTGTGTTGTCCTACAAAACATCTTTTATTACATGGCTGTACATGAGAGCTGGATTGAAATGCTAAATATTTAAGTAATGTAAATATATTTAAAATAAAGCAAATGTTTTAAAACATGGTTTGCAAATCACAGTAGTAACAGGGCATATTTGACTGACACAGCTTTCGGTTTACCCAAATAGATAGTGTTGCATCTTCCAAGTTCTGTCCCCTTGCAGAACGGTTAGATAAAGAAGGTAAAGAAGCCATAAACCAGGGGCGGTCAGCTGTTTCTTACTGAGGACCACAGGCTTCCTTTTTTCTTTCTTTTTAATTTCTGAGTGCTATGGTGATGTCATTGGGGAGTGGGATGAAATTCTAGTTTCCTATTGTGTGAGGATAGTCCTTTTTTCTTTTTCTAGAGAGGTTCTAAAAGAAATACATGTCTGAACCCTGTTGAAGGCATAATACACTTTTGGCCCTAAGTTTCACTTCTGACATTCAATGACTCATGTCTTTCTATTGTGTTTCAACTGAAGTCTCTTTTGATAATGTTAAATCAAAATGATTTGTCATATTTTTACTACTTCTGCATTTGTCAGAAAAGGATTTATTGGTATTTCCCTGATGGGATCATTAGGTTTATCTTTATTAGTGTAATGATTACGTGTTATAATGGAAATATTTTAAATACAAGATCGTGCAACTTCTCCAACTTGGGCACTGTCCAAATATGTAGACATTACAGCTGGTATTGCCATTACTGTGAATTCTGGGAGGTAAAGTCCACATGCAGGTAGTCCTCACTTACTGATGGTAATTGGGACCGGGAACTCCATCATTGAAAAATCAGGTGACCACACCGCTTAGTGACAGCAGTTCCTTTTTTTTTTTTTAAGAAACTTTAAAAGAAGTTTTTTTTAAAAAAAAATCTCACTAGTATTATCATATACCATCATCCCTTCCCAAAGATAATAGAAAGCACCTTCGTATCGCTCATATTTCCCAACATTCCCTTATATAGTCCTAGTAACTTCCCCATTCAGTCCTAATCAACAAGAAACCCCTCTAATAACTATCAGGAGTCACAACCTATATCCATTTTTACTACTATCAAGCAACAATAATCTTAATAACATCGTCACACGGTTTTGATCCCAAAAATGCCATTAATCTATCAAGAAACCACAGCCTATGTTCTAACCATAATCAAACAGATTTATTTTATACACTTTCTGTTTACTTTTAAGAGGTTCATTCTTTAATCCTAACAGTACTCCACATATTGAGTCTTTATTATTTTCTTCTTGTCTTCTTTTTTCAGGAGCAACTTCAATACATTCTCTTTATCTTTTAGTAGTTTAAGACCTTCTTTTTGTGGATCCAAAATAGTGTTACCATTAAAGTGATCCAAGTTCTATTTACTTTTAGAGAGTTCATTCTTTAAACTTAGCAAACAGTGCCCCACTAGTTGAATCTTTATTATTTTCTCCTTGTCTTCTTTCAGGAACCATTTCAATAAGTTCTCTTTGTCTCTCAGTGATTTAAAACATTATTTTTGTAAATCCAAAACAATATCATCGTTAGGCTGATCCAAAGTAACGGTAAGTCCAAAATAAGATTCTTTTTCTTTAAGATCCAGTAAGATATCCATCTTTCTTTCTCCTTCCATATCTTTATTATCCATATTATTCTCCAAAATATCCAACTTGTGTTCAACCTGCCTCACATCAATAGCAGACTCATTTAATTTAGCATCGAGTTTCTTGTTCAAATCATCAAATTTATCCTCCAGTGACTGAATTATTTTTGCAGCAAAGTTTTGAAATGTAATCTTGAAACACTCATCCCTGCAGTTTGCTCTCTTAATAGTCATGGTCAATAGCGCTCTCTAGTGTCATAAATACAGATTACATTCTATCCAAAGTAAATAGTGAAAGGGAGAAAGTCTGTCGTATTTAAAATTCCTTTCCAATCAGGGCCAATTAAGTAAGAAAACAAAGCAGATTTCACACAGTTCCGGTATCCACATTGCAGTATCAAAAACCCAAGCACAGATTCGCCAGAAAAAAAAATAATAAGAATTCCTTTTCTCTTGTTTCTTAAAAATTAATAAAAAGTCCAAGCCTTTTTTTGCTGAATATTTTATTCTCCGCCCATCTCCCCCCAATGGGGAACTCTGGGTGGCTCACAAAGTACATATATAATCCTAACAGTGAGAAACAGTGAGAAATTTTACAATTAGTGCTATTACACTATGTGACCAGCAGGGGTCGCTAGGGGGTCATCTGGGCTTTTTTCCTCCTCCGTAGATCTTTCTCGCCACTCGCATCGATCGTCGCTCGTGCCGGCTGCATTCGGAGTTCGGCCAGCACCGGTATTTTGCTCCCCCGCTCAGCCCTGCCGGTTCCTCCCATCTAAACAGGAGTCCCCATTTATCTACTCGCAGATGGAATAGCTTTCG